GTTACAACATATGATTAATAAGATTAGTTTAGTAATATACATATCTAATTCGTTAAGGGATTCATTAAATTAATATGGATCAAGTAATATAGAACGATAAAAATAATATTTTTTTTGTTAACAAAAATAAAATACCAATTATCGTTTATTAATTTACTAAAAAAGATCGTTCGATGCATTAAACTTTTATTATGTGTGATTCCAAAAAGAGTCAGACTATAAGAGTCGATAGTAAAACTAAAAAGTTGTTACACATAAAATGAAATTACTATTTTACATAAATAATTTTTAATATGTGATATATTGCATTGATTTAATGATTAAAATATTCTAATTTCATCGTTTTGTCATAATATATTTATTTTTTTAAAATTCTAAATACGTCTTTGAATAATCAGATGCATGCATTACCTACTTAATTTTCTCTCCCTCTTTTTTCTTTTTTGACAAATCGATTGAGTGTAGCTATTTGTTGAAAGGGAGATTACATTGTATAAATTAAACATATTATTAATTATTCAAACCACATTAGCCACAAGTTTTATTAATTGAAAAAAAATAAAATGACTTTAAATTTTTTGGAGTTTTCTTGTTTTCCATAGAATGATATTTCAAACCGTAACAAATATGGGAAAATCTTCATCATCCCATTCTACTATAAGAAAATTAAAATGTAATTAATTAATTTTTCTGTTACCTAAGTTTATGGCTATCCTTTTCTCCAAAAGTCACATCACTCTTCCATCTATCTCTACGTTCTAATTTATATGACATAATTCAGCATACACTGATAAGGAATGTATGGATTCTCGAGAAGAGAGGAGCCGTGGTGGTCCCCCCAGACCGCTCGGATCCCACGAGTGAATCGAAAATTGGATCTACATTGGATCTCATCCGAATCGCTCCATCTATCCTCTTGAGGAGAAGTTTGGTTTCAAACACCGGTTCGAACAGGAGGAGTACGCCATGCTAATGTGCTTTGGATGATCCACATCTCAAGATCAGGCGCCGATGAGCACATTGAACTATCCATATGGCTGAGAGCCCTCACAGCCCAGGCACAACGACGTAATTATCAGGAGCGCGCTCTATCATGATTAAATCTTTGAGATCAAAAGTAACTGGTAAAACTAACATTTTTGTCCATGAGAAAGGTGACGTCCAAAGATCACGACCAATATACACCTTTATAAGTTGATTTTTGAGATTAAGTTAAACTCCGAATATGATTATTATCTCAAACTCCTTTAATTATGTAATGAGGACAAAAGATCACTTCTTATACACCTTCACGAGATGATTTTTGAGATTGAGTTAAACTGGAAGTCCGATTCTTATATCAACCCCCTTCATTAATTATGTAACGAGGTCATAAGATCAAGACTAGTATTCACCTTCATGAACTTGTTTTTGAGATTGAATTAAACTCGGAGTTTGATTCTTATCTCAACCCCTATCATTTATTATGTAACGAGGTCAAAAGATCACGACCAATACTCACCTTCATGAACTATTTTGGAGATTGAACTAAACCTGAAATCTTATTCTTATCTCACCCCCCCCCCCCCTCCTTCATTAATTATGTAACGAGGTTTAAAGATCATCATAACCCAATATACTCATCTTCATGAACTGATTTTTGAGATTTAATTAAACTCAGAGTCTGAATCTTATCACAACTCCGTCATTAATTCTTATGTAAAATAATAAATACTTTAAAGGGTCAAAAAGCAAAAATACTTTGTACTACTTGTTAAAACGTGTAGATGTAGGCTCTTAGTGGATCGTTCAATTCTATTGTAGCGTTTAAGGAAAAAAATGTATGTTAAATTATCAATAGAGACTAAGTAAGTGGGAAAGTCTATTTTGTCTAAACATGTATAGAATTATTAATTAAATATCCCTATTTAGTTGTACACTTTAGAAGTGACATACATATTAAGGCATCAATTATTACGGTAGGTCACTTACAATTTTACTCTTAACTTAAAAGATTATGCAATTCCTAAAGTATAATAAATGTATTTTCTGGTTTCAAAAAACATGCAGTACAACTTAGTAGTACTAGAAATTTTCTAGAATTAAATAAGGGTATATTAGGAAAAAAATTTGTTGTCCTTTCCTGATTTGTTAAAATGAACAAATAACTCGAAACAGATATAAAAAGAAATATAAACAAGTAAATAGAAACAGAAAAAGTATGTGTTAAAGAATAATGATTAGCAGCAGCCATAAGTCAATAAACACTCTAGAAAGAAAATTAATTACGAATTTCATCACTAATCTGACGCTAAATTTCTAAGTAGCTTGACAAATATTTTCTGATAATTCATCACTAAACAAGATTGACAACGATAGATTAAAAGTAAGAATTTATTCCATCGCTATTTTATTTTATTTTTGGTAATGCAAATGACAAATTAATATAATATTAATCGAGTCAATTATTATAAGATCATGGCTTATGTATGTTGGTATGTCAATTATAACCTATAAATTCAACTTGCTCAAGTCATTGATATGTTTGGTGATGGATAACTACAAATATATATCAAAAGAAAAAAAATTGACTTATAAGTGACTATTATAGGTTAAAATAAGTGGGTTTTTGCCATATTTCATTAAGAATTTTTTTTAGAAAATAGTTTTTGTTATTAAAGCGAAAAATAATTTTTAAATATTAAACAAATATTAGAGTAATTTGACTTTTTATGAGAATTTTTTTGTTTTTTAAATTCTTAAAATTTTTGAAATTCAGCTTGAAGTTGAGTTCTGGAATTTTATGCGGCAAATCTACTTTATGGAGTAAAGTGAAATTTCATGGTCAAACGTCTCCTTGAATGTTTAAGGCAACTCGTTTAAATGATTTAATCAATAATAATTTGTTAAATATTTTATGATTCACAATCAAGTAATAGAAGGTTTAATGTGTTTGATCATGTTATCACAAGGGTCAATATTAGAATATGTCGATATTTCACTAATAAAAATGTAACATGATTCTCCCTCAATTCTTAAAATGTAAATTTTCTAATCGAACATATTGATCGATTCAACTCATTATAATCCCTCAATCGCGATTTAAATTCGATCATTTCACAACTTTACTAAACTTAACTCAACAAATGATTATTTTTCACTATTTCTTTTAGCCAATATACAGTAGGTTTGTCACAAGTTGTTAGAAATTTTCATAAATTATGCTTTATAGTGACAATACATATCGATTGAGTGGGGTTCACTATTCAACAAGTAGAACTTTCATAACTCATCACTTATTCTGAATATAGTGTTTACGTATATATAATCGATTTTACGCGTTTATAATTGATTAATATGTGATACACATGTGTTCGAAAATTAGTAAATAGTGAGTTAGTCCACTTGCCCTTTGCTTGTAATGATGTATCACAAGATAGGATAAAAAGAGAGAAGGAAATGACATGTTATGTTTCAAGCTATATGGTATGTAGATGACAAAATCAAGATTGTTAGAGCAATAATTTGCCATGTCTTGAATACAACACTATTGACAAAAGTGAGTTTGTAGTTCAAGGTTTAATATTTGTTCCGCTGGGTATTTATCATAAATTTCTTATCATAAATAGATTTTTTTTTTGTTAAAGAAAAACACAAAGTTTATATGGCTGGTCATTAAAGTTTATGACTTAGTAGCATTGATAATATAGTCCGATCCTAGGGGCTTTGAGAGTTTTGTATAGGGGGAGAAATGGTTAGATACATGTACATAATATGTTATCACTTGTGTGGACCTGTTTTATTCTGAGTAAATCATGTAAGGTTAATTCTCATGATACTTTGTACTCTCATATTTATATAGTGAATTGCTCATCTCCTTTGGTGGATATAGGTCGGTTGGCTGAACTACATTATATCTTGGAAAAATGACAGAAATCCCACTTTTACGTTCTCTTATTACCATTATCCCCTATTAGTTTTATAAATTCCCAAAATTCCTCATTTTCACGCATCAGATTAATGTATCAGCGCTACAAATTAATGTATCTCGTGCATTATATAATGTATCTTGCACGTCAGATTAATGTATCTCGCGCATCTAATTAGTTTATCATGTATAAGATGTATATTAGATTAGTGTATCATGTATAAAATATAATGTATATCCCTTAACAATTAATGTATCTCGCGCATCAAATTAATGTATCAAAGCTTATATTATTGTATCACTTTGAGGAATTTCTATAATTATAAACTTATAAGGTACAAATGATAATTTTGCCTTAAAAGTATGTGATTTCTGTCATTTGCCCTATTATCTGTGCATATTGATATATTTCTCATTTGTTTTCTTACTCATAATCTTCGAGATTTGCTTTGTTAAATACATTCAAATATCCTTTAATTTGTTATGTTGAATATATCATGTGAATATTTAAACTTAAAAAGTTGTCAATAAATGAAAAAAGATTATTTTATGAGAAATCATAAGATAAACAAATTAAAATTAAAAGTAAGTGAATAAGATATTTATTATTGCTAGTGATGTGTGACTATGACTAATGTCACTATCCATTCAATGATAGAGGTCAACCCCATTAGTCAAGATTGAAGACCACTTTATCAGAAAAACACATACTAACACACACACTAGAACTGAAAAATGGAACTTTCAAATCCAAAGAACACAAAAAACATATTGCTAGTTGTATTTGTGTTCCTCATTTGTTGGAGTAATGTTTTTTCAAGAACTCAAGAAGATGACAGAGTAATAAAGCTGCCAGGACAACCCAATAGTCCACAAGTTTCACAATTTTCTGGTTACATTACAGTCAATAAAACTCATGGAAGTGCTCTCTTTTACTGGTTTTTTCAATCTCAGTTTGATTCTTCCAAGAAACCCCTTCTCCTTTGGCTTAATGGTGGTAATTTCTCATATTTTTTGTCATAAATAGTGAACCCCATTTTCTTATTTTTCTTGTTTTATATGAAAGATTGGAACTTTAGCTATTTTTTTCTTGTTTCATATGAAAAATTGGAACTTTAGCTATTTTTTTCTTGTTTCATATGAAAGATTGGACCTTTAGCTATTTTTCTTGTTTCATATGAAAGATTGGACCTTTAGCTATTTTTCTTGTTTCATATGAAAGATTGGACCTTTAGCTATTTTTCTTGTTTCATATGAAAGATTGGACCTTTAGCTATTTTTCTTGTTTCATATGAAAGATTGGACCTTTAGCTATTTTTCTTGTTTCATATGAAAGATTGGAGCTTTAGCTATTTTTCTTGTTTCATATGAAAGATTACTTTTAGCTATTTTTCTTGTTTCATATGAAAGATGGGAGCTTTAAGTTTTGTTATTTTTGTTCTTTATATTGTTCTTGAACTTGCTCTAACTATGATTCTTTTTCCCCTTGTGATTTTCTATATCTTTGTCATAATGAGTGAACCCCATCTTATTTTTCTTGTTTCATATGAAAGATTGGAGCTTTAACTATTTAGTTCTGGTTCTTTTGTACTTTTTTGTATGTTGTAGTATTTGGGAGTTGGGACTTGTGGCTCTCTAAGGCTCTATAACTATAATTCTTCTTTTCGCTTGTATCTTATGGACTATGTTGCTAGGACTCTTCAAAAATGACGATTGATGCATGTCGGATCCTCAAAAAGTAGTGTATTCTTGAGAAATCAACATGGTTGGGACAATGTTTTTGGAAATTCCGAGCAACATAGCTCATGATAGTTGATGGGGAAAAGGGAAAAGGGAAAAGGTTTGGCACTTGACAAAAAGTTCCGTTGGACTTGTGGTTTTAAATATGTCAGTGATGAACATGTCATTAAGTGCAAATAGGAAGTTTCAAGTTAAAAATTTCCTAGATATAAAAAAGGCGTAAATCTTTTAGAAACAAACTAAAAAAAAGAACGACGAGTAGTTAGTTTCATAGCATTCACTTGTGTGTTTTGTATATTAGGACCTGGTTGCTCTTCAATTGGATTTGGCGCTGCTGTGGAGTTGGGACCTCTGCTAGTTCAAAACAATGGAGCTGGTTTTGACTTCAACAAGCATTCTTGGAATAACGGTCATATCTCTTTTTCATTTATGCTCTATGTTGACTCTGAGTCGTTTACCAATTTATAATAAATCCTCACAACATAGAACGTATTGACTCTATATTATGTTTTCAAGGCGATAATCAAAAGTAGAAAATGATAATTTCTACTTGTTTTAGCTTTGCAGGGCTTAGTAACTTGTTCATTAACCGAAGAAGTTATATCATTCCTAATAGGGTGTGACTGAATTGTTCTTGTTGGACGTTTTACTTGCAGAAGTCAATTTGCTGTTTTTGGAATCTCCAGTTGGGGTGGGATTCTCTTACACCAATACATCCTCCGATTTAACCAACTTAGATGACACCTTTGCTGGTAATTACAATCGGAGAAATGCAAATACATTTTCCTAGAAAAGTTTGCATTGTGTGTATGCAGCTAACTTATGAACATAATTGCTTCACACAGCTGAAGATGCTTATAATTTCTTGGTGAATTGGCTGGAAAGGTTCCCCGATTTCAAGAACCGAGAATTTTTCATATCAGGAGAGAGCTATGCAGGTAAGTAAACCTTCCCCTAAACTTCCATTTAATGATTAAGACTTTGTCCAATGTGTCTAAAGTAAGGTATAATCTTTTGTGATCATAGGACACTATGTGCCGCAGTTGGCAGAGCTCGTATACAACCGAAATAAAGACAGCAAAAAGTATCCTTACATTAATCTCAAAGGTTTCATCGTAAGTTTACCTTCGTCTCCTATTGTTTCCCTACTCTATCTTTGTTTGCATTCTGTAGCAAAGCAATATTCACGGATAGTTACAGAAATCGATTTACTCACTTGCTCATTCTGATTTAAGTAGGAAAGTAGAAACAGAATATTAGCATCTCCTTACTGTTATCTTGAAGCCTCAGTGTCATATATTCATTGTATATGATGACTTGTAGGTTGGAAATCCTGAAACGAACGATTACTATGATTATAAAGGGATATTGGAATATGCTTGGAGCCATGCAATACTATACGATTCGGAGTATCAGAAAGCCAAACAAGTATGCAATTTCAAGGTCTCCTACTGGTCCGACGCCTGTAATGATGCCATGCAAGTGTTATGGGATAAATATAATGAAATTGACATCTACAACATTTATGGTCCCAGGTGTCCCGTGAACACTTCCTCTTCTTCAGCTAGTGATATCGTTGATACAAATGATTCTTCTCAAATCAAGGTGAGAATGAACTTGGGCTCCATCTAGTGCATATTAGCCTGCGATGTAGAAATAAGATATAGGAGCTATTTTGAGCCTCTTCGAAGGCAACTGTATGCTATGTTGCACACATGAACTCTTCAAAAATGTTGTTGAGGGCGTGTCGGATCTGCCAACAGTAAAGCATTTTGGAGGATCCGACAGGGGGTTGTAACAACATTTCGGAGAGCCTGAGCAATGTAGATTATATGCACAGTAGACTAATAAAGTTTCCCTTCACAATTGGTATTTCCATCTAAACAATTTTTCTTCATGAATCAAATGGAAACTTGACAAACATGACTCGAAACTTGGTTTCATTTTGAATTTTTGATAATGTATTTAATTTGTTGCAGGCACCTAATTATGGGTTCAGGAGGATGAAACGAATTCCGGGGGGTTATGACCCCTGCTATACTTCATTCACCGAAAAGTATTTCAACCGATTAGATGTTCAAATTGCTCTTCACGCGAACACTGAAGGAAGTCAAGCTAGAAAACAATGGAAAAGTTGCAGGTTATATTTGCTCGAGCTCTGTGCAATCTTTTGTTCACTATTTTCAGTATCTACTTGCTAACTTGATTTCTGTTATACACTTCAGTGATCCTATATTCCGCACATACAACTACAATGTATTCTCTATCTTGCCAGTATACGAAAGGCTCATCAAAGGGGGCCTGAAGATTTGGATTTTTAGGTATTTGTGTTTTTATCTTTATGCTTCTTATAGTTGCATCCTAGTATGAGGTTGAGAAACATAACTGGAAATTACTCGTGTTTTATAAAGGGCTCCTTCTCTTTACATTACACTCTTAACATAATGGATGAAATACTACAAATTTATTATGATAACGGAAACTAATGATTCCTTGAATGCATCTTGATGATCTGCTTTTAGTACTTATTTTATACAAGCTGACCTTCATGTGGCTCATTCATTTTTTCTTAAAAAATAAAAAAGTGGCGATGTAGATGGACGAGTGCCAGTAATTGGGACGAGAGACTGCGTTGAAGCTCTTAATCTGACTCTGAAATCTCCATGGCGTTCTTGGTTCCTCAATAAGCAGGTCAGTTCTTCTTGTAATTTTCGACTTAGAAAAGTTAAATGGCGATCAAATAGAAAATCGTGCTTCAACATGAAAAGGTAAAATCCTTTTTTTCGTCTCTCTATCAGTCCCTTCCCCTCACTTCTCCCTTCGAGAACTAGAAAATGTAGTCGGACTTTATTAACGTATCTAGTAAACGTACCCTGCTTTGAAGACAATTGTCTCAATGAAATCATTTTTTGATGAGTCAACAATGCTTTATGAGAAACCAATGGAGAACAAAACATTTCTCTCTACTATATTCTATTTTCGTTCTAGTTTTGTCATGATTTACTTTAGACGATGGTCTATTTGAAACAACCTCTCTACCCTTATTAGGTAAAGGTAAGGTTGCGTACACACCACCCTCCCTAGACAAATATAACTAGCTAAGCATCGTTGATTGTTGGAACGTGACCTGAAAAATAAGATAGATTACATGTTACAACATAGTAGAAGTGCAATGTTAGTGTAGCATTATCACACTGTCATCTGTATGTGTGTGTATAGTAACCGAGATCTACGTTGATGTATGTAAATGCAGGTAGCAGGACGGGTAGTAGAGTACGAAGGGCTGACATTTGTGACAGTAAGAGGAGCCGGTCATCTGGTACCTCTATACAAGCCAAGTGAAGGTCTAGCCCTCATCCATTCTTTCTTAACTGGTGAAGAACTTCCATCTCATAGATAAACGTCGATTGTATCCCATAATAAAATCTCTACGATAAACATATCGTCAATGATTCATGCATTATACTTGCTTCTTGATTATACTACAACAAGAATCAAGAATTGAGAGACCATAAATAAGCAAGAAAATGTCAAATGTACATGCAAAATTGTACCCTTGTGTACTCTATTTTAATGAATTTCAAGGTGGTTCTCTTCATTTCTTCAAGTGTCATTGAGTTAATTTACCATTTCGATTTTCCATTTGGTGTTTGGTATCTGTATTGTGCCCCAACCAAGTCTGGATTCGCGGTACAAAGGCTCGAACTCGAGACAAAATGAATGAGTACTTACAACTCTAACATAACGTACCCTTCTTGTTCTATGTTAAGTTGTTTCTTGAACTATTTACTTTCTTTTCAAACAATTATTCGATTCTTATTACACCTAATAATTTAATTAACAACGTATTCAGTATTAATTCTGTAAGTGGGGTATGAGGAAGTGGGTTGCATGTAACGATATTCCTACTACCTTATAAAGACAAATAAACTATTTCTAATAAATCTTTGACTCAACGAAGTGACAAAGCAAATACAATAACGAAGAAACCATGTTTGAATGTTCTAAAATGAAAGTTTGAAAGGTATGAGTATTCTAAAATGATTAGATTACTAGAGAAAAAAAACAATTTATGTCCATCTCTAAAATATTTTACAAATTTTGAATGAATAATTTGCATAAATATAAGTAAGTGATTATATTTTTAACTATTATAAGACTTGGCCTGTGTTCTTCAAGAATACCTATTCATATGGAAGTCAAGATCAATTTAGTAAATAAATTAAAAAACATCATCTTTATGGTTATTTATTTAATTATTATTTAGTTTATATTTCAATCAATAACAAGTGGATTATTTTTAAAAAATAATAATAATATTATCAGACTTAGCAAATTTCTGTCAAAATTCATCAGCCTTTTTAAAGAAAATCATAGATCTTTTAGATCAGGTCTAAAGATTATTTTAAATAAATTAAAAAATTTATAAAAAAACATTCAACAGCGAAAAGTCTTATATTGTGCCATACGATTTTTTCACGGAACCTTCTACTTAATCTTGTCTTGTAAGCAAAGAGATGTCAAGATAACACCTGGTTTAAAATTATGTAAGCTACTACTGTCAATGTTAGACGATAATCAAATGTTGTCTGTAAAGTTAAGAATACGAATCTAACGTTATCCAAAAGAGTAATTCCTCGAGGGCTATAGCTACACAAATTTTAAAAATAAAAACAAAATCTAAATGACGACGTAAATAAGTTAGATATATGTAAATCAAGCAAAGTGTTATATATCATCAGCCCAAAAAGGAAACTATACTACAAAAAGGCCCTTTTAAGGCCCATCAATTCTGAAACAAAATCAAGAATTAGTCATTTTTTGGAAATTGGTAGCCATTTTTCCTTCATTTTTTTCTTCAATTTCACAAATTATCCATGTTTTTCTTCAATTTTCAAGCTAATTCAACAACCCCATCTTCATCAAATTGCAAAAAGATCTCAAAAATGTGAAAAAGGTTGAGTCTTTCCTCCATTTCTGTAAAAGTAATCTCTTTTTTTGACCCCAAAACCAAATTTGAGATGAATTCACCATATGGGGTTTTCCCAGATGAGGTAATTCTTCAGATTCTTGCTAGATTGCCTGTTAAATCAGTTTTTAAGACAAAAGTTGTGTGTAAAGTTTGGTATAAATTGATATCTGATAAATATTTCACAAATCTTTATAATGAACTGTCAGTTAAGAATCCTATGGTGCTTGTTCAGATTAGTGAACCTTCATCAGAATCAAGATCTAGTTTGATTTGTGTTGATAATTTAAAAGGAGTTTCTGAATTTTCATTGGATTTTGTAAAAGATAGGGTCAAAGTTAGAGCTTGTTGTAATGGATTGTTATGTTTGTCTAGTATACCTGATAAGGGTGTTTATTATGTTTGTAATCCATTGACTAGAGAATATAAATTGCTTCCAAGAAGTAGGGAAAGGCCTATTACTCGGTTTCATCCGGATGGTGAAGCTAGTCTTGTTGGTTTGGGTTGTGATTTGATGAAACAAAAGTATAATGTGGTTTTAGCTGGTTATCATAGGTCGTTTGGTCATCGTCCTGAGAGGACGTTTATATGTATGGTTTATGATTCAGAGTTGAACAAATGGAGGAAGTTTGTGTCGTTGCAGGATGATCAGTTCACACATATGAATAAGAATCAAGTTGTGTTTATTAATGGTGGATTGCATTGGTTGACGGATAGTTGTTCATGTATGCTTGTTCTTGATTTGGGTACTGATGTTTGGAGAAAAATTCAGTTGCCTCATGAAATTAGTTGTGGAGTTAGGAGTCGTGTTTATTTGTTGGAATTGGATGGGCGGTTGTCTGTTATTCAGATATATGAGGCTTGGATGGTTATTTGGGTAATGGAGGATTACGATAAGGAAGAATGGCGAATGGTGGACAAAGTTAGCCTTAGATGCATTAGAGGGATGGTACCGGGCATTTTCCCAATAAGTCAAAATGACAACTTTGTTTACCTAGCTACACATAAGCAGGTTTTAGTTTATCAGAGAAACAACCGTGTGTGGAAGGAAATGTTCTCGGTAAAGGACAGCTCAACCTTGCCTTTATGGTTCTCAGCACATGCCTTTAGAGGCACTCTCTTTTCATGCCATTGATCCGATGGTCGTGTACATCTTTCTATTCAAATTGTGTACATAATGCTATCGTTAGTCTTAATTCCTATCTCATATATTGGGCATCATCTTTATCGTTTGTCATTTTGTGCATACTGTGTGGAACCTCAAAGATGGTTTCGGCTAGGATATTGTCAGTTATATGTTCACTTATCGGGGAGAATGACAAATGGTTGACAAAGTAAGTCTTCAATGCATTAGAGGGATGGCACCGGGCAACTTCCAGATAAGTCAAAATCACAGCTTTGTTTACCTTGTACATAAGCAGGTTTTAGTATCAAATAAACTACCGAGTATGGAAGGTGATGTACTCTGTGAAGGACAGCTCAACCGTGTGTTTATGGTTCATATCACACGCCTTAACAAGCACTCTCTTTTCCTGCCATTGATCCGAGACTCGTGTACATCTCTCTATTCAACGGTTGCACATAATGCCATCAGCAGTTTCGAGCAGTCATTGTCTTGATATTCTGCCATACTGTCTATGTTGTGTTGAACCTCGAAGGTGGTTTTGGCTGGGATCCCCAAGAACTACGAGATCACCACAGATTTTGATTTATCAAAGAGACAGCGGAGTATGGAATAGGCGATGTACTCTGTAAAGGAAAGCTCAACCTTGCCTTTATGGTTCGTAGCACCACGCCTCTTTCCCTGCCATTGATCCGAGGCTCGTGTACATCTTTCTATTCAACTGTTGCACATAACACTATCACTAGTCGAGCTCTCGTCTCTCTCTGCAGTCATTGTATTGATCTTTTGTCATACTGTTGTATGTATATCTTGTGGAACCTCAGTTCATCATAGATGGTTGATTTTGATATGAAATAGTCATTTTATTGTATTGTTGAAGTCTTCTGTTCCTCTGTAATTTGGCTCATTATATAGGTTTTATAGTCGCAGCTAAAAGTTAGTATTAGTGGCAAATTATATCGCATCAAAAACACATATAATAGCCACTAAAAGTATATATCGTGTTTTGTGCTATAGCTTACAAATCATACTTCATACATGTAAATCACGATAAACAAACCCAATACTATAGCTCACATATCGCGATAAACGATTTAAGTACATCGATACTACTTATTGCACCAACTTAACACGATTATAAAATATATTTTACCAATCGTCAATACCCGCCATAAAATAATTATTACTTATTACACAATATAATTATTCTTTTTTTAAAATGAAAAACCAAACAAGGCCTTAATACCCGTTATTATAGTTTGTTAGTTCCTCAATATTTGGAGATCCTTTCATTGTAATTTTCTAGATTCTTGAGGGATTCTCAAGGATTCTTCAATTTAATTGTTGAATTTGTGCATGGAATTTGATAATTTTGAAACCCAAATCATTATTGATCTTATTGGAGCTGTTAATCATCCTTTATCATGCCGACCCACAACACAAATTGGGTTGGCAAACTCTAATATTCAAAAGTTTAGGGATTTCAATCAAAACCCACAAATATTTCTGGGTTTTCAACCAAACCCAGATGTGATTTTGAGAATGGAAATTGAAAGATCAATGTCCCTGCTTCAGGTGCTAGTTTATACTAATATCTATTTCTTATGTGAATATTTGGTCCTCTTTCTTTTCTTTTCATTTTGGGGTAATTACGAGGTGGAGAATCGAATTCTAACAAATAAGGTGAAAGTTCATGTAGTCGAGCTAGTAAGGTTTTATTGTTTGGGGCTGTTCTTTTCTTTTTTTTAAAAAAAAATGGGGGTAGGGGAATGGGGGAATTACGAGGTGGGGAATTGAATCGTGACTAATAAGGTGAAAGTTCAGGTAGTCGAGTTAGTGAGATTTTATTGTTTGGGGGATGTTCTTTTTTTTTAATTATTTGGGGTAGGGGAAGGGGGAATTACGAGGTGGAGTATCGAATCCTGAGCAATAAAGTGAAAGTTCGAGTAGTTAATTTGTGTTGTTTAATGATTAATGTGGTGTTAATTGTATTTTGAAGGTGATGGTAAATGAGGGTTTAGTGCCTTGTGGAGAAGAGGAAATGAAGAGGAGAAATGCTATTGACAAGCTCAAAAAGGTTCCTTTCTTAAAGTATAATTTAGATTTATATATATTTGATATACATTTTTTGCTCTTTTGTATGAATTGAATGTCGTGTTTAATGGAAAATTACATTGTTTATACATTGTTGAACCTCCTTTTTGGTTCGTTGTGTGTTTACTTGTTCGTATATTGAACTCCTTAGTGAAAATTCTGACTCTGCAACTGCTGACATGCTAACTAGGTATAGTTATTGATTTGATTATGTAAGTTGGTTCAATGTGAAGTAAACAACTCGGAAAAATGATAATTGTCAGTTACTTGTCAATCTTAATGTTTTATGTTAGGGGTTAGTTTCCATTACGTTAACTAATTATATGATTTCATTTGAGATTCTAGTGAGCTACAAAAGCTTTTCAATCACATTATTATTCGTTATTATTTTGCAGATAGTAGTGGAGTGGGTTAAAACGGTGACTTACCAACGAGGTCTTCCAAAAAAGTACCTTAAGTTTGCCTCTGGGACAATATTGACATATGGATCGTATGGTCTAGGAGTAAGTCGAGTTTCATAAGCTCTCCTTTGGTTTTCCATTTTTTTTTTTGTTTCGACAATTTGTTGCAGCATAAGAGCTGTTCCGCTTGTTTCTGCAGGTTTATAATTCAGAGTCAGATATTGATGCTTTGTGTGTTGGTCCTTACTTTGCCACTATAGCTGTGAGTCTTGTTTCGGCTTTTAGCTTCTTTGATTCTAAAATGAGGTTGTACAATGCCTATAATGCTACTTGTTATGTGTATCTGCGTTGTGCCTCGTGTAGGAAGACTTTTTCATCGTTCTGCATAACATGCTTGCAAGCAGGCCCGAAGTATCAGAAATACACTGTGTCAAGGATGCAAAAGTACCTCTAATGCGATTCAAATTTGATGGGATATCCATTGATCTTCCCTATGCACGACTCAAAGTAATATCTATCCCCGAGGTGCGTTATTTTGACTATAGTTCAAGTGAAAGAGACCTTGTTAACCAAAAGTGCTAAATTTCTTTCTTTTATACGATTACTTTATCTAATTGATTTTCGCTTTATATCTAGAATGTGGACATATTTAATCCGTTCTTCCTTAAGAATATTGACGACACAAGCTGGAAAAGTTTGTCCGGTGTGCGTGCCAATAGGAGCATTCTTTATCTTGTGCCAAACATAGAGGCAAGTAATGATGTCAATTTGTATTACTCCTTCCGTTTCAATTTGTTTGTCTGATTTTGACTTGGCACGGAGTTTAAGAAAGTAAAAAGGACTTTTGAATCTTGTGGTCTTAAACATGTCGTGTGATTAAAGAGTTACTAAAAAAGAAAAGTAAAACAACCAAATTCAAACGGAGGGAGTAGTTGATGAAAATAGTGTGGTTTGGCGTAGCATGCTTGACGGTGATCCCTTAGTTTTGACTTACTGTGAGTTTCCGTGTATTAGATTCTTGGTTGATTTGCTACAGGTATTCCAAGCAGTGCTGCGTTGCATCAAATTATGGGCTAAAAGACGTGGAGTTTATGCAAATGTAAGAGATTCATGGACTCACTCTCCTCCTATATTTCATGCTATCGTTATCTTTTCTTTACCTCAAATCAAATCTAATGATGCGATAACCTTCAGTTGCTTGGATTCTTCGGAGGAATTCACTTGGCAGTGCTTTCAGCATTTATTTGCCAAAGACATCCAAGTGCTAGCTTAAGCGCACTCATTTTACTTCTGTTCAAAACATTTGCCTTGTGGCCTTGGCCAACTCCCGTAATTCTGCAAGACCAGATAGCTAGGCCATTCATTCCGACTCATGATAAGGTTTCGTGGATGCCAATCCAGTTACCATGTAGCCCATATGAATTTTGTCATTCCAACATTACCCGAAGCACATTCTATAAAATCAGGACAGAGTTCCTAAGAGGACATATGTTGACTAAGGTATATGATCATTTCAAATATAATCCCTCATTCCCTTAGTCCTCTTTAGTCGTTATGTTTTCTCCGTACCGCTCACTTATGTAATTTACTTGCAGGATATGTTAAGCCCAGATTTTGATTGGAATATCCTTTTTGAGCCTTTTCCTTATGCAAGAAAATATGGACTATTCGTTAAAATTTTCCTTTCCGCTTGTGACAAAGATGAGCTAGGAGACTGGGTAGGTTGGGTCAAGTCACGTTTTCGCTGCTTACTAGTCAAGGTATGTCCCTGCTGCACCCCTGTTTTCTCTGTTTTCGTAAAGGTATCATCAACTAGATATTGGCTGGTACAGTTTACTGGACCGAGTAGGTGCTAAAATCTTATACACCAGTGAGAGTCGGAGACAAAACTTGTTCCTATATACGACATTCCAGTCATGTTCTTGTCTACGAGAAGTAGCATTGTATTTTTAGTTCTTTCGTAACTAGACTTTCTTTCATTCCGAGCAGCTGGAGGAGTTATTGGGTTTTTGTGACCCGAATCCAACTGAATATGTTGACACAGATGCATCAGAGCCAAATGTCATCTTTTACTGGGGATTACCAACTGGTAGAGCTGATCTAACAAACGCTGATCTCGTGGAAGAGTACTTTCTGAAGAGCATCGATCATGGATTGAATCAAGTCTCAACTGGAACGATGAAGTTATCGATTGTGAAAGCATATCAGTTGCCTAAAAAAGCTGATCAGCTTATTGCTCCCGAACGAAAGAACTCTAAGCCATGCTGGAGGGTTGTTGATGGCAATCGAAAAAAAACTCCTGCACAGCCTAAGTATAAACCTCATTGTGCTGAATCTGCTGGTGATTACTTGCCTACAAACGAAAATCCCGAGTTCCCTAGTGCTGGGGGATAGGGTGTTGTGCTACTCGGAGATATTAGAGCGGGATCCACCATTTGGGAAATACTGAGTCGAAGCAATAACAAGAATATTTCTAGTAGATACAGAGTTTGACACTTTGAACATATTTGTGGATCACACATATAGAGAACATGAAGAAACTTTGTACATTTGCATTGTATTGTATTGTATTAATTTTGCAACTTTTGATCCTCACAAGTCACAAATACTTTTTTTTTTTGTTATTGAATTGATTGATGGAAGAAAATGTAAAGAAAAATTGAATATTGATCTAATGAAAAGGGGAGTATTATTCTTCTTATCCTTGTTTGATTTATTTTTTTAAAAAATAGTTCCTTGATTATTTATTTACTATTTCCTTATTTTAGAAATATTGGTTGATTGATTCTTGTATTAATGGATGGTCGTTTGGTACGAAGGAAAATATATTTCTAGAAAACAGAAAAGAGTTAAAATTACTCTTGAACTATGCAAAACAGATCACTTATATCTTTTATTACATTTTAGAATTAAAAATACTCCAGTTTTTATTTCAGGAGACCACAAATATCGTCAAGAGTTAACACTTCAATTTTTTAGTAACATGGCAAGCTACATGAGGCTATCCCTCCACCTGAGCATTGCCAACTAAAATTCACTATAATAAAATTTGACATTTTGTCGCCACAAAATTTCAAAATATTATCACTAAAGGTTATGAGTGATTTTTAGTGGTGAATAAGGCTCCAATAACCATTCGCTAGTAAAACCTATTTTTTCAACAAAAAAATATGATAATTAATTTTCGATTGCAACCTAATTTTTTAAAATAAATAACTTGCAATATCAATATTAAAAGTATCCAATATTATTACGAAAAATCATCAAATTTACTTTTCGATTCAAATCTCCTTCTATATAATGCATCACTGTACATGTTATACATTTACATATGACATAAAAATAAGACATACAGTGTCTTCAAATTCCTACTTAATCGATATTATATTTGACTTTTTAAAAACAATGAAAAAAAAACACAAAACTAGACTTTAATGTTAAAAAGTTTTAGTAAAAATTTTCTGGGCTTTTGTGGCGACTGTTATCGCTGCTAAAGATCTAGTTCTACTGTAGTGAATCCTAGTTGACAATGCTTAGGTGGAGGATTAGTCCCATGTGGCTTGCCACATTAATAAAAATTTGAGGTGTTAACTCTTGAGGGTATTTGTGATCTCTTAGGATAACAGCATGGGCATTTTTTATCCTAGAATGTAACGAAGGATATAAGTGATCTATTTCACATAGTTCAGGGGCAATTTTGACCTTTTTTCATCTAGAAAATATATCATTTTCTGGCAACCAAATACCGAAATATCATTAAAAGGGGGAAAATACCTTTTCTTTTTTTCTATTATTTTTAACAATATTTTTTTTTTTGAAAAATATTTTTCTTCGTACTCAACACGTCTCTCTTTCTTCTAGTACATTGTAGTTTTACTTCCTTTTTATTGAAAAGGTTAAATTGAAAGAGAAACTGAATACGTGAGTTACAGTGTGATGATCGTGATTTATTCATATTTAATAAGAGATGTAACTAGGCAAATGTTTAACGCCAAAATGTATGTGTCATTTCATGAACATAAATGAAATTATAGTATAATATCACAAGTCTATGGTTTAATGTATATGATAGAGACATATTTATGCCAAGAAGTGGCAATTTGACACCACTTTGAGAATATGTCATTTTTTAGTTGTTTAGATGATGATAATCTTTGATTTGAATTAAGCAAGCTGTCCAGCCAGCTGAGATATTTTATTGTGGGCGACATGTTTTTGTAATAATTACGGTAAATAAAAATAATAAATTAGAGATCTTAAGTTCGAGTCATGAGAATAGAAAAAAAAATTTTTAGTGAGAATGCTTTTCGCACTATAGAAGTGAATTCAAATTAATAAGATCAGTGTATATTGAATAACAAAAAAATAATTATTAGACAATAGCAACCGTCAAAAGTGGTCGGTCTACTTATATATCATATGTAAAAGAGTTTAGAGATTTTGGTTCGAGCTTTGAGTATGAAATTGTCTTTGTTACGAAGTGTTTTATCTTTTATATGATATTTTTCTGTTCAAATCAAGATTTAGTCAAGCTCTAATGTTAGTGTTCGATATTGATTAAGAAAAGAAACAAAAGTACTCCAAATCATTTATCGTCAATGACTTACTTTTATAGGTAAAAGAGTCTAGAGGTCTACGTTGATGAATTCAAACTTTAGTATGAAATCGATTTTATTATGGAACACTTTGAGATTTTTCAGTGTGAATATAATTCACTCAAATCTCAATACAAATATCGAACCGAACGAATGGATGCAAGAAACCACTTGAAAAGATGCCATTTTTTGGAATATATAAGTCGTTGGATGATATAATTATTTTACTTAAAAGTAAACAAGCTGCACCCACTAAGTAAGATATTTTTCATTAAAGGCAAATTTTTTTACAATCACTAATAATTAAGGCACTATTAAAAATTAAAATGTCATTATTAATTGTGATTAATTTAATTTATCTAGTAACTTTTTTTTAAAAAAAGTCTTGGTAACTAATCTTCTTAATTGTTTTTTTTTCAAAAAAGAATCCCATTGATTATGTAATAAAGGCAAATTAGTGGAGTCAGTCAATATAAAATAATTTTTAGAAAGAATAAATAAAAGAAAAAAAAACCTTTTTTGTCTTTAATAATTCTGAAATATGTGATTATTCATAAGTAAAGAGATTAAATATGTATATCTCATGATACCACAAAAATTAAAATTAGAATTAATTAATAACTAGGAGACCAAATATTTTATTAATCAGAGACGGAGCTAGGTGAGGTTTATAAGTTCTGACTTTAATCCTACTTTTTGAAGATTTGAAAATAAACGGAATTCCTTATCATATTTTATATTTATATTTATATTATAAACGTTAATTAGAAACGATAACTAATTTTTTTTCTAGGTTATTCAAAATAGAGAAAAATGAAAAATGAAAAAAAAAAAAAGAGGAGGGAAATACAATATTTGGTGACAAAATAACAAGAAATGGTTTGTTAATGATTTAATTAGGAATATAATTAATTAAAACAATTAATTGACGGTCCAAAATCTTTTATTAGTTGGCACAACAAGTAGCTAACGTCGTAATTAGAAAATCAAATAACGTTAAGCAAATAAAGTTTGATGTCTAAAAAAAATTGATAGACTTTTAAATAGACGATTTTACTAAAAAAAAGTTCGTTCCATTCTATATATCAACTTAGGTGAATTCCGTAACGAAACGGAAGAGAAATCAGAAGAGTGAAGAATTTTATAAACATTGATATTATATCGTACGCATATTTTTGGACTCGATAATAATAGAGCCCAATGAACAAATTAAAGAGTTATATTTTTACGTTATTAGTAAAACTAATTGAACTTTTATTATATATGTAGCCAAATAAAGAGTTTTTACACATTTATTATATTCAATAATTTCATTTTTTTCAACTATTAATTTCATTTAGTATGCTTAATTTTTTCTTTAAATTCGACTAGTTTATCATGTTTAAGTGATAAATTAAGGTAATTATAAATTTATATGTATTAATTAAATAATTATATCTATAAAAATATAAATTATATATTTATTAAATTGATGTAAATATTCGATACGGTCCTACAAAATACCCAAAAGATGAGAATTTCAAAAGGATTTGGTTTAAATTGTGTACAAAAAAAACGTTTATTTCAAGAAGCAAAAGCCACGTTTTCATGTTGTAATGTCTATATTAAGCAATATTCAAACTAAGAATAAAAATAGAATTCCTTAATTTGATCCAACTTGCGATGTTGTCCAATCAATTATCATTAAACAAAATATAAAAATATCACCGGTATTAGAATTTAAAGTTTATGAATTTTTTCAACACTACAGTGAGACTGAGTTGTAAGGAGCATCAAATCGTAATTTGAGCATTATTTTGTTTATCTAATATATGATATATATACTTATTGATCTGATTAATTTAAATTTGAACCAAATAAAGTAATAACTATTAAAAGTGTAAAATACATTCGCATACTTAGAAATTAAATTTCTAATTAAGAAAAGAAATATTTAAACATTTGACTTGCACCTATTAATGGTGATTCATGAAGTCGTTATTGATTTTTGGATACTTTTTCGATTTCAAAACCTTGGGATCAATATTTTTATTGTGACTCGATTAATTTAAATGTTTTCTTGATACACCACTAAAAGGTAAAACTCTTTTCCGATAAAAAAGTTTCATATTCTCAAAATTATAACTCGATTAAAATTAAAAATGAAAAAATCAAACACGTCTCACTTACACATTTTTATAGTCAATTCAAGTCGTAATTGATTCTAAGAGTACTTTGTTATTTGATTAGTGCACATAAGTTACTTAATAAAACTTGTACACTTCGTTAATTAAACCAACTTAGCCCTAAATACAGAGACTTGTAGAAATAAAATTCTTCATAGTGATTCCAATTTGGGGGGAAAAAATTCGACTAAGATAAAAAAGAAATAGTATATAATCACTTGATTAATCATGATTAAACTAATATACACTTATATTGCTTAATCATATGATTAAATGCATGATATCTATTATAATTTCATTTATCTCGATGTAGGAGTGAGCATGATATGGTATTAGAAATCTTGATTCGATAATAATTTTGGTTTTTAAAAAGTTATTCCATTATCATATTAATTAATTATATTTTAAAGTTTGATTTCGATATTTTGGGGTACAGTAAATTGATAGTCATAGTTTATTTATGATATCGGCTTTAAATAAAAAAAAATGTCTCAATTGTATCATTTAAACACTTCTCAGTAGAAATAATTAAAGAAGTACAAGTAATTTCCTTCGTTAATCAATTACAAAAAAAAATTAATATAAAATAGTCAAAGTTTCAATGTTATATTTTATATATATTCTAGTATAAAAATAATAAGAACAACAACAATAATAATAATAATAACAACAACAACATACACTACATACTTCGATATTCATGTATTTCGACTTAATACTATAGAGAATACCCAAAAAAAGGTATAAATACATATTGAATCATAATACTAAAATTATGATATCGAAATATTCAATTTCAATATAGTAATTTAGTATTTAGTAATTTCAATAAGGTTTTACCATACGTTTTTTTATGTTATCATTTAGTGTATAGTATCTGTATTAGAGTTCGATTATTTTGAATTCGCGCTACGTAAGTTCTTATTAGAAAAAAGTGCTTCTTATCGAAGAATTTATCTGCACTCAATATTCACACTCAAAACCTTTAATTAAAAAAAAATAGCTCCATCTGTTGCACCAAATCGTTTGATAGTTAAATCACATAATTGCTTTGGTCGCTTTCCTTCCTTATATATATATATATGAAGACAATTGCTTTATTTCTAATCTAAACAAAATCAAACACCTTTAATATTTCATTAGCTTTTTCTTATATATATATTCCTTCATCAAATTCTCATTTCTTCAATTCTCGAAAAAAAAAAGTTAATAAAAATGAGAAATTTATTCCCCATATTGATGTTACTCACTAATTTGTCACTCAACATCGATAACAACAACAACAACAACATCATACGCGCAACGTGTAGGGAGACTCCATACTACTCCCTATGTCTCTCAGTCCTAGAATCCGATCCACGTAGCTACAAGGCTGAGGGTAGTGATGATATAACCACCCTAGGCCTCATCATGGTGGATGCGGTGAAATCAAAGTCTATAGAAATAATGAAAAAGCTAAAAGAGCTAGAGAAATCGAACCCTGAGTGGCGGGTCCCACTTAACCAGTGTTACATGGTGTATAACACCGTCCTACGAGCCGATGTAACGGTAGCCGTTGAAGCCTTGAAGAGGGGTGTCCCTAAATTTGCTGAAGATGGTATGGATGATGTTGTTGTAGAAGCACAAACTTGTGAGTTTAGTTTTAATTATTATAATAAATCGGATTTTCCAATTTCTAATATGAGTAAGGACATAGTTGAACTCTCAAAAGTCGCTAAATCCATAATTAGAATGTTATTATGAAAGAGTAAAATTTTATAGTTCACTGCACGAAATTCTCGTTACGTGAACCAGATATAAAGAAGGACATGGTTACAAGCTTAGTAATATTTCAATACTAGTTTTCTATTTTTATTTTTTTTTTATATTCTTGTATTTTGTTTATTGTGTGTTTGTATATAAAGGATTGAGAATTAATCCAACTTTATATAAATAAATTCTTAGTGTTTTAATTTTAATTTAATGTAACGATAATATGCACTTAAATGAAATAGAGATTATTTGATGCGTCTATACAAAGCAAGCATTCTATTAGGTGATAAGTTTGCTTTCACTCATCTTTCATTTTTCTTTTAAGAAAAAAAAATATCATTTTCATAATTGTGTATTATATTTTCTTAACGTAAAAAATTATACGTTTTGATTTCTCAATATAAGTATCGGATAAATGTTTTTTTGGCATTTTAAGTTTATAAGATAACTCCCAAAATAGTATATTGTGTGGAATGTCACAATTGAGCACTAATCTATCAACAAAAATTATGTTAACATATATTTGTCTTCAAGACTTAAATCCTTTGTTATTTTAACTCACTTTATTAATCGTTAAATCAACTTTTACCTAGGATTCTGATCAATCGACAATAAAAAATCATTTATTAATCATCAAGACTTGAATCAATATTCATTTAATTCACTTTTATCACCATTATCTTGAGGTGTTTAAAATTTATTATTATGTCAAATGTCTTAATCAAGGACTAATCTATCAACAAGAAAGTTATGTTAGCCCATACTTGTCATTAAGATTAAATAAATCTCGTCCGTATAATTTACTTTATTGATCGTTATACCACAATTTTAGAGGGTTTAAAATTGTTTTGATATCACATGTCATGAGAACTAATTATCAACAAATTATAATGGTAGCACATATTTGTCTGATTTGAACTCACTTTATCGATCGTTAAACCAAACAATCTTTGAATACTTCATTTTGATATCGCGATCAAGCACTAATGAATCTATCAACAAAAATTATGTTATCACATATCTACTTGTCATCAGAATATAATTAAACAGATCTTAATCTTATTTTTTTATAAATAACTTTAAGTTTGTCGTTCTTTTTACGAAATAATTGAAGCACATACGAGTTGATATATATAAAAAAAGTTATATTAGAGTGGTTGGGAGAATAAAGCATCAAGGAATATAAGTAACTTTATTTTTTTTAACTTCTTCCTTAGTGACTTTTTATAAAGTGGAAGTGAAGATTAGCCAAGTGTTATTTGTAACTAGTTTCATTTGAATAAATAAATTAATATTAATGATAGTGTGTTTAGATATTTTATTTATTAATTATGGTAATGATGCTTTTAAGGTTATTTATAATATGAAAAAAAAAAAGCTAGAAGAAAAGCTAATTTGTCATTTTCATTAAAGATGAGTGGAACTCTGTAACCCACTAATCTCATCAAAAAGATGAAGTGCGAATAAGATTAAAAATATAATATTAAAAAAATAGAGCATATTCTTATCTTTTAATTTATGTATAATATAAAGCTCCACAAGGTAGATATTTATATTTCCTTAAAAATTTATGAATATTTTATTTGTATACTGCTATTTAATATATATTTATATTTTTTTAACTTGTATGTTTATTCATTTTGAAACAACTTCAAACATGGAAGTATCACAAGCCTTTGAGAAAAATATTTCAACACAAAAATGACTAAACTTCAATCTTATATGTGTATCTGAAAATCAGCTATATGAAATATTAGACATCGCATATCTGAAAAAGCTCCAAAATGAATAAACTTGTAAATCCTTATGCAATGTAAATATACTTTTTAAATGATGGTCCCAAAAACGGTTCGTCTTCTTAATTGACTAACGCTAACTTACGGGACGGGGTGATATTGCAAATCAACAGATTTGATGGTCAACAATCGTTCAAACTAGATAAAAGTTGGCACAACACTATTAAAAGATAGAGGGTTATCACGATATAAAGTTGTGAACTAATTTAAACGATATCTCCACTACTGACATTCGTCAAATAGGCTATATAGATTGACCAGGGTCTTCTTCGACTAATGAAACAAACCGATACTTCATCATTTATTAAAGAACAATAATCTCAAGCCCATTTATAATTACTTACTAAAGAGTAAGTACTGACTGGCCCAGAATAAGTTTACTGGGCTATGTTTGTTGAAGCCCAAAAACAATTCACAGCCCAATTGAACAAAGAAGCCCACAATTCATGAATACTCATACTTGTTGGACCATTAAAATCGAAAACTTAGATACTACGTAGATATACCATTGTGATCCGGTCCTTCTTCGAATCTCGTACATAACAAAAGTTTTAGTGCATCATGTTGCGCGTTCTATCCTCTTATTAACACAAATTATGCTTATGATAGTTAACGAGTAGCGATCTACGATATTTTATTTTTAACCATGTACCTTGAATTCAAGATTTTAAAAATGAAATCGTTAAGTTTAATATTTTTTACAACAATTTTTTTTAAAAATTTGAATTAATTAAGTTTTAAAATAGATTCGCGTCAAATCAAATAGTTATTTGTAGTGGATGTTGCTAGAAATGCTGATTCAATCACTTAGGTGGATAATATGTGTCCACTTGTCCTATTTTCTGTTGTCCCTCCCCTTATGTGGGCCCTTATATACAACATAAATATCGACTTTGGAATGCGGTCCTTTTTTAAATTCTAGATGGTCGTATATTGAGTTGTTTCCTTTTAATATTTTATATTTATATTATGATTCTGATTAATTTAAATTTATGTTAAATAGGTTTCGAATTTTTTTTTTTATCATGCTTTGAACTCTGGTTAGACTAAATTTTGTATGGAATAAATTTCAAAAGAATTTATAATCACAAAATTTGAGTCTGGTTTTTTCATTTTTTTTGAAGTTTTTTGGCAAATATTAAATTTATTTTTTTATAAAAACCAAAAAAACAATGGCTACTTTTTAGACAAATTGCGCTGCTCTCATCACATGGGTGTGGGGTAAAGGAAACAGATTATTGTTATTTATTTATTGAGTAATATTTTTTTTTATGTTTTATAATCATGAAAAGGACAGTAGACGTACATTGGTGTATTTTAATAAAAAATAATTGAATTTCTGTAATATAAATTATATTAAATTTAAATCGCACGTTATAAAATTTATTTTTAACGATAACGCTCTCCAAATGTTGCTTTTTATTATTAAAAACAATTTAAATTTAAGACTTCTAATTATGAATTATACGCAATATATATGTTTTGAACTTGACTAAGATACTAAATTAATTAGTATATAATAAAAGATATAGTGCAAAAATGTCAAAAAAGTAGGCATAGTGCAAAATGCTTTTAACTCATAATTTGTACCACAACAACATCAAGATAATGAAATTATATCATGAAAGTAAAATAAGATAATGTAATGATATCACCAAGGTAAATGTATGCTTTTTTAAAAGAGGAACTTATGACCTAAAAAGTCGTTTGTCCAATTATTTAAATTAAAAATAGTCCAATAAATAAATATATAATTTATATATAATTCATCTATACTCATAATAAATGATAATACGTATATTATCTCCTGGGAAAACCAAAGTTAAAATATTTTATAACGACGATCTCAAAAGTATACTTCTAGATTCGCCTCAAAGAAATACACACCAATAATATGATGCAATTTTATCAACCACTAGACTTATATTGCACCACTCAATTATCTAATAATTTCAACCAATCAAACAAGTAGAAAAAAGTAATCATTCGATATGAAATCAGAATTTAAACTTTATAAATTTTAAATCCTAATTATGATCTCAAATTATTAATTCTAATTACAACAATAAATACATATCTAATAAAATTTAAAATAAATATAAAATTTAAATTAAAATTATTAAATCGTAATTAATACTCTAGCTCCAGAAACCAATCATGCAAATGGTTCCAAGGAATCAACCCAAAAAGAAAGAGATAAGAGAAAGGCATAATAAAGTGATGCATTCCACTTTCACAAGGATAATGAAAGGAACCATTATCTCTAAGAATTATAAATGTTAACTACACTAATAACATTACAATTGTAATTATATTTATATATTAAAATATACTAATTATTATATACATTTATCTTTTAGGCTATATTATCATTAAATTAAAAAATATATTATAAATATAAAGTTATTCATTTTTTTCTTTTATTATATAAAATTTATCTGAAATTATATATACACATGCATCATTTTTTTTAAAAAAAATTAATTCTACTTAATTCATTTTTTAATTATTAATATCATATAACTGTCCAAAAATTATTGCTCATATGATGCCTCACAAATCATGCTTTGTCTTTTTCCAAGTGTAAAAAGGGAGGTGCAATAATGCATTTTGGTTTGTATACATTTTGTAGTTTCAAAGTCTTATCATATTAGAATCATAGAATTAATGAGTAGTATGATTTAATTATCTAAGGCTTGTTTGGTAGTTAGTTAGAAACTAAATCATTCAATTGTATTATAAATGATATGATTAGCATTAGAGAGGATAAAATTATCCAATAAAATTACATTTTATTTAAGTTTAAATTAATTATTTATCTGTTTATTTATTAATTTAATTTAATTCAATTCGATTGATTTTACAAATAGCCTTAAAAAGATTGATTTAGAATTTCGAATCTCGTTTAACAAACTCATTAAATAAATTGCTTCATCTTTAAAAAAATTGTTAAACATAAGTATGAATTGATTTTTCTACTTATAAAGCAGATGTTCAGAATATTTCAAGATAATAAACTTATTCAATTAATTATAAGTTACGTAAAAAATAAAATCTAACGATAATAAATTAAATAATATTTTATTTGAACATCGGAATTTATGGTCGCGAGCGAAGCTAGTAAGCATCTCGGAATTCTTTCTAAACCTCTTTCAAAATTAAAATATATAGTCTCTTCGATTTCTTCATATATGTACCTCATGTTTCGAATGAATTTTAATGAAAATTTTAATTCTGTCCTTCGAACTGACTACTCTAGAGACTATCTCCAGGTCCAAACAAACCCACGAAAAACAGATTCAACGAAAATTCTGATTCCGTCCCTAAACCTTACTACCCTAGAAACTACAACCCCCCCCCCCCCCCCCAACAAGGCCCAAACAAACCCCACCGAAAACACAAAGCAAGAGATGATTAACACGCAATTGAATCCATCCATTTACTATATAAAAAAACATACACACACACACTATACTCCATACAAAGAAAATCCACATTTAGTTTTAAATTTTCCCAAAAATTTCAAAAATGAAAATTTTGATTTTCCTAATAATGTTTCTTGCTATGTTGCTAGTAACAAGTGGGAATAATAATCTAGTAGAGACAACATGCAAGAACACACCAAATTATAATTTGTGTGTGAAAACTTTGTCTTTAGACAAAAGAAGTGAAAAAGCAGGAGATATTACAACATTAGCATTAATTATGGTTGATGCTATTAAATCTAAAGCTAATCAAGCTGCTAATACTATTTCAAAACTTAGGCATTCTAATCCTCCTCAAGCTTGGAAAGATCCTTTGAAGAATTGTGCCTTTTCGTATAAGGTAATGTTTATTCGTTCGTCGTTTCAATTTGTTTGTCCTAACAAAACTCGACTATGATGAATTAGGATTTTATGTTTATTTTTTCTGTCTCAATTTGCTTGTCTTACTTCTTTTTTTGGCTAAAAGTTTCGACCCTATCTTACTGGTTGCTTAGTGAAAATTTCAATTATGGTGAATAACGAGCTATTTAATTTTTTTTCTAGTTCAATTTATTTATCGTATCTTTTTAAGTAAAAATATCAACTCTAAATAAGGAGTTATGTTTATCTTACTTCTTTAGTGAAAATTTTGCTTAAACTAAATATCTAATTAAAAAGAACTTTAATTTTTTTAATATATATTAAATATTGATGTCGGATTAAATTGAACAAATCGTAGAAAATGATATTCTTTTTGTTTTTTAAACTCTTGCCATAATTTGGCTTAATATAGACTTTTAGAAAAATAAACTTTTGAAACTTTGATGTTAAACATGTTTTTTCCTTTACGTAACACACTTCTCTTACTTTTATGTGTTGTCCATTCTAATTTAATTTTCTTTTTTTTAGTAATAGAATAATTTATAATCACATAACTTTCCAAACTTCATTTAAATTACAAATCATAAAAAATGTTTCTTTATAAAACTTTGAATTTGGACCTAGTTTAATAATATCATATATATAATATGTGGTTATAATTTTTTTTGGATTTTTTAATTTTAGACCTACCATAAAATATGTGTAGCTAGCTAGCTTTAAGAGTATAGTATTAAGGATAAAATAAAAAGCGTAAAATTAATGAGAAATTGTGTCATATAATAAAAATATAATGTCATCTACGTTGTTATAGTGAAACAGAAAAGATAATTGTATTAATGGCATGTTGAATTTTGTAATATGGTTTTTAAAAACAGGTAATTTTAACAGCAAGTATGCCAGAAGCAATAGAAGCATTAACAAAAGGTGATCCAAAATTTGCAGAAGATGGAATGGTTGGTTCTTCTGGTGATGCACAAGAATGTGAAGAATATTTTAAAGCTACAACTATTAAATATTCACCACTTTCTAAATTAAATATAGATGTTCATGAACTTTCTGATGTTGGTAGAGCCATTGTAAGAAATTTATTGTAATATGTCATGTCATAATGTTACATATCGAAAAGTTTTTATAGTTTAGTTTGATAGACTGTCTGAATTATTATTTTATTCTTGCTAGTAAAAATTCGATTCGTCACATTATGATCATCTGTGGTTCATTTTTCTTTTTTCTACCTCAAATGTTATGTGTGTATCCCCTCTTAATTATTATAAGAAAAATATATCATAAATATTTGTACAAGTGTAATACTCTTATCCAATATATATGTTTGTCCCCTTCTAGATAAGTCTCTATTAATATAATAAATTTGTGATATTTTTAATAATGATTTGATTTGATTTGATATTTATTTTAAGAAAATTAGAAATATATTTGAGTTTTATTTTTATATTAAATATAAAGATTTATGTAATTATAACTTTGATAGTCTTTCTAATTTTATTTATTTATTTAATTTTGATTTGATATAAAACTTAAGAAAGGAAGAAATATTTTGACACTCTCTTTGATTTAATTTATTTAATTTGATATCTTTCTACTTCTTGCTTTCCAATTAATAATTTGTTTTTACATATTATTTGTATAAATACATGGTATAAATTATTTATGGGATAAATATATATGGCATAAATTTTTTATATCTAAAATATATCATGTACTTTTATGGTATAAATAAATTTGTAACAAAGTCAGATCCAAATTCATTGTTATCCATATTTAATTATATGGATAGTTTACCTTAAAATCATTCAAATTCAATTTAATCTGTTCATTTATTCGTTATATAAAGCACAAATTTTCTTAGAAAAACACATTTCAAGTTTCTCCATATATACAAAAAAAAAAATCCCCATTTAGTTGAAAATGAAGATATTAATTTTCCTAATGATGTTTTTTACTTTAGTGTTAGTAACAAATGGGATTAATAATCTAGTGGAAACAACATGCAAAAATACACCAAATTATGATTTGTGTGTGAAAACTTTCTCATTAGACAAAAGAAGTGAAAAAGCAGGAGATATTAAAACATTGGCATTAATTATGGTTGATGCTATTAAATCTAAAGCTAATCAAGCTTTTAGTATTATTTCAAAGCTTAGACATTCTAATCCTCCTCAAGCTTGGATACATCCCTTAAAGGAATGTGCATTTTCATATAAGGTAATGTTTCGATTTATCTATCTTACTTTTATATTTTAAATTCGTTTAATAATATGAATATTCTTTTTCTTTTTTGGGCCGCTTAAAATATGTTCTTTTCCTTTTTCGAAACTCGTTATTTTCAATTTTTTATATGACATCTGTAACGCTAGCTATGTTCAAATAAGAGAAAGTATTGTTGTTTTATTCACAAGCACGAAAAATATAGGAAGAGGTCGAGTTGATTTCAAACGCTTGATAATATTGTGATTTTTTGATGAAGGATGTCAATTAATTCTATATCATTTTCTTTGCCTCGATATCGGAGTTTGTGTGATTCTATTTTCTTATTAATTCTTTTAATAAAAAAAAGGTTGATTAAAAAGTTGATTACTTGTTAATATAACCTCCTTTTCATAGTATTTTTATCTTTATTCTGACTCAAAATAAGCGTTGTTTCACGTAACAGAGAAAATATTAACTGTTTAATTAAATTCATTACTTGTTTAATATAACCTCCCTTTCATAATATTTTTATCTTTATTCTGACTCAAAATAAGTGGTGTTTCACGTAACAGAGAAAATATTAACTGTACTTGATACTGTAAATACAAAAATGTGTCATTTTTTTTTCGAATATCAGATGTTGATTATTTTATTATATGATTTCAAAAACAGGTAATTTTAACAGCAAGTATACCAGAAGCAATAGAAGCATTAACAAAAGGTAATCCAAAATTTGCAGAAGATGCAATGGTAGGTACTTCTGGAGATGCACAAGAATGTGAAAATAATTTCAAGTCTAAATCTTTACAACTTACTAAATTAAACATAGATGTTCATAATCTTTCTGATATTAATAGAGCTATTATAAGAAATTTATTGTGAATCAATAAGCCTCTCTTAATAAATATAATAAATTAATTGTGAAATATTTGTGTTGCTTATAAGCTCATTATTAATAATTAATTATATTGATTGGTGATGTTTTTTTTTTCCTTGAAAATGAAATGACATATAAATGAATAGTTGAAACGTGTCACCATTTAATTCGTCGGTTTAATTGAGCCTCATCTTGTAGATAAGGTACAATTAAGAACTAATTAAATTATAAGATTAGCATTAAGTAAAACAAGAAAATCAGCATTAAGCATCATTTAAACTCTAAGTTGTGTTTTGATTGAACTATTAGATCCATATTATGATTTCAAAAAATAACACTATGAATTATTGATTTTGAATCAAATAACATTTTCTGAGTGTTCGAACAAAACATCTGTCTGAAACGTATTCAAAGAGTGAGGTAATTAGCTATATGAAAAGTGCTTCTTTTGTGGAACTTCCATGCAGATAGTGAGTTCAAAGGAGTTCCTTTCCATCCAATTGTAACAAAATTTTCATTCATCTCGAGCGTGAAAGAGTTCTTACCAGTAAATTTTTCTACCACCGTCTTAGCTTGGTACAACGACGAGTCACTCATTTTCATCTCCACCATTCCAAATCGCTTGAAATACTCTCTCCATAACTCGATCGTTACATGTCTCATTGTCCTTTCCTCACCCTCATTCGCGATAATGTTCCTTATTCCATGCCACATTACTTCTTCCTCCATAGCGTTCCTAGTTGATTCGTTGTTTCTCATACAATCCTCGAACAAATCAAAGTAAGCACCGTGATAGAATAGAGCTTCAATGAAACGGTTAACAAAAACAGGAGAGTTAAGATTTGCCTCGACTTCTGCAACAACCATTATACGAGGATTCAAACCTTTGATGAATCCCATCAAGAAATCGAGTCTATCTTGATGTGTTATCATATTAGAGAGTAAAAATTGCGAGTAAACTGCAAGGGATTCCTCAGGATCGATGTCTAAGTCTTCTCGCTTTAGATCAAAGATATCTTCCACCATAACTATCTTGAAACATAACGGAAAGTGTAAGGACTTAGCAAAACTCATTAGTCGTTTACCTGTCTCCTCGACGTTAGTCCTTGATTGAACATCTATCAATGCAGTAACCTTAAGATATTCAAGGTTACTGCATTGAGTTGCGAGTGCTTGCATTAGGATTGTCCATTGCACTCCCATTTTGATCTCGAGATCAACTATATGAATCTTTTTCGAGCTCTCTACATTTTCAAGTATAGCTTGTATTCCAGCAAATTTCACGACTTCACACATTGGCATGTCCTGAACTGCAATCGTGCACGCGTTTATACTCCTTAACGTCTCCTGAAGATCTCTCATTCTACGTATCCCTAAGCCTTTCGTGCAATTCTTCCCCGTTTCAATATCAACTCGTTCACGTAGAGCACGAGAGAAATAGTACACCAATCTCTCAACAGGGTGCCCTGTTTTGTAACTCAACTTATCGCATTCATTTAAAAGATCAATCGCGATATCATAAACCTTCTCCCCGACTTTCTCTGCAGAAGCAAGTAGTCGTTCGACGAGCATTACACTTCTAGACTCTTCCTCCGAAAGACTACACAATGAGTCGACAAATGTATGATCAAATTCAATACGTTGCATAAACTTTTGTCCGCCAAATCGAAGAATTTCCTCTGCGGACAATTTACAAACACTTGATGTGCATTCATTTTCACTAATTTGAGCAACATCAATCTTTTGCCCTTTAAGTTTTCTAAATCCATTTCCAAAGTCTTTCAATATGTTGAGCGAAGAAATCAATGAATTATTCGCTCTTTTGTTATCGTCTGTTGCTTCTTTAATAGAAAGAATAGTTGTTGTTTTATCTACAACGTCGAAATCCCAATCATCTAATTTAACAGAATATTGTTCGTTTTGTTCTTGCATACTATTTGTTTTTTCTTCTGGCTCGTAAAACGGCCAGATGATTGATTTTTCCATATTAGTTTGAATCAATTTCGAAGAATTGATAACAATTTTACGTATGATTTTATAATTATTGAAACTTTGGTATAATCTATAATCGATGTTTTCAATTTTCGAAAATGGACAAATCAAGCAGTACTAAGTTCAGGTCGATGATATCAATAGATATTGTTGTTATTGGTTTATGTGTAGGATTCTAGTTCGATGTATTGAGCTTTTGCTATGCCGATAAGAAAATGAATCCTGATTAGGCCAAACGTAGAGAAAATGTTTTGTAGATCTGCTTGGTTGAGCATTTTTATCTAGACACACCTAAACAACAACATACATGTTGCCGCCAGAAGCAAAACCCCGTATAGAATCTCCTAATTGTTCCAGAGCTACTAGAAAGGGATTCTTTAACCAGAAAGAATTCACTAGTTCCAGAAGCATCTTCCATTCATCTCGACCTAGACTGATCTTTGTTCTGATGATGATATAATCGAACAAGTGGAATTTGACGTTATACGCTAGATTTAAAAGGAAATACGAAAGTGCAAAAGTATAACGTAGAAAAGAACAGTCACAACAACAAAATAAAATAAATATGCAATTGAAGGATAAGATAATAGGAGTAATAGTAATAATATGAGAAGGAAAACTGGATTGTGCTCGACTACCAACTAGCCTTATATCCTAATTCTGCTCAAGCTCGATTACCGACAAACATTCTATCCTAATTTCGATTGTGCTTGACTACCGACTAGCCTTTTACCCTAATTCATGTCGTGCTTGACTTCCAACTAGCCTTATAACCTAATTCTGGTCAAGCTTGACAACCGACAAACCTTCTATTCTAATTTCGATTATGTTTAACTACCGACTAGCCTTTTATCCTAATTCATGTTGTGCTTGACTACGAACTAGTCTTTTACCCTAATGAGAATTCAAATGAACTCGACACCCTAAATTCGTCCCCCGTGACCAATCTACCCACAATTTGAAGCATGATAGCAAGAAAAAATCACAATGAAATAACAAAATGTGCAAATCAAATAAAGCAACATATAGTAAAAACAAACAACGTTTAACTAGCTAACTAACCAACTAATAACAATATATATAAATTAATTAATTTTTTTCTCAACCACAAAAGAGTCCTTGGAAGTCCTCCAACATAGAAAGATAAAATTAAGTTTTACCAACTAATTTGTTGGGTTAAATTAGCAAACTTCTAACTATCTTACAAATCATTTATACAAAAAAAAAACAAATATGTTCTTTAAAAATTCTTCAAGATGAATATCAATATTACATTATTTTTTGTCATTTTCCTAGTTAATTATGTAATATTCTTGGATTTTGTTCATGGTTTATCTGTGAAAAATGTGATTGATTCTCATGTATTAACACAAAAAATTAGCACTAATCGTACAATTATAGTGGATATTAATGGACAAGGGGATTTTAAGTCTATTCAAGCAGCAATTAATTCAGTTCCAAATGGGAATTCCAATTGGGTCATTATCCATGTTAGAAAAGGGACATACAGGTACTTGATTGGTTAATTTTTTCGATTCGATTCGATCTTAGAAAAATAATCATTGTCCTGAAATTTTAAAGTATCGTCGAATTTAACTTAGGTCATTGAATTTGATGAAACTCCTGAATAATGGCTAGTTTTTTTATTACAGACTGAAAAGTGGTTATTTATACGTGATGTATTTACTTTTCTATTTTGATAATCATGATATTCGACCCAGATAACGTACTTAGGCATCACTTCTACTATTTTATCGAGTATTTGAAACTATGTCAATGTGTGACATCCATAATGAAAGGCAAGTGTGACGCGCGGGAGCATATTACAGTTTAGGTGAATCTACGTATCGGAATATGAAAATAGAAAGTTGGGGATCATTTAACAGTTGGGCCAGGTCGTTACTCAATGGCCACATGTTCATCTATTCACCAACACATATCGATTATCACTCTTTCAAATCGGCTTTATGTAGATGAAAAGAAATCACCGTATTTTATGAATCTTTATTTAATTTTTATCCACTTTATTATTGATCGTTAGGCCACTCCCTCATAGACAAAATTGCAACATACATCCACGAATCACAAATATTTATAAGTTCATTACCTCTCTATATTGTAGATAGAAAAACTGAATTCATCGAATTTAAATTTTAAAATAATTTTTCTTTTAATTATAAAAAAAAAATTAAAATTATTGAGATTATTTTATTTATTATTTTGCAGAGAAAAAGTGAATGTACCTCCAAAAAAGTCCTACATATTTATGAGAGGCAATGGAAAAGGAAGAACATCAATTGTATGGTCAGAGAGTTCCATTGATACAACCAAATCTGCTACTTTCAAAGTTGAAGCTCCTAATTTTGTTGCATTTGGCATTAGTTTCAAGGTTCATAATTTTCTAATATTATCTACATAAAATATTCTTTAATTTGCATCAATATAATATATCGCGTTCACACAGATTCAAAGAATCGCTACATCCTAAAAGGTGTGATACAGTTAATAACTGCTTTTACGATTCGAACCTATGACTATAGATCACAAAAAGATAATTCTACACTTTCTCCGATAAAAACGTAGCAAATAGACTTTAACACATTTAACATTTTTAAGTATGTGTTTTTTTTCCTAATATTATTTTATATTATGATTTTTAAAATTTTATTTGGTAGAATCAAGCACTTGATGGTGCAACTTCAACCTCACCAAACCAAACATCAGTAGCAGCATTGGTGGGAGCAGATAAAGTTGCCTTTTATCATTGTACATTTTTGAGTACTCACAACACACTTTTTGACAATAAAGGAAGACATTATTATGAGGATTGTTACATTCAAGGTTCATTAGACTTCATTTTTGGAAGTGGTCAATCATTATATCAAGTGAGTTTAAATTTTATGCATCGATATAAACTATATTTTTAATTCATATAGATATATATAATCAGGTTATTTATATGAGTTGATTCAGGTAAATTAATGTATACTGATAATATGAAAGAAAGATGGTTGTATTGTTAATGTACATAACTTAACTTTCGTTCATTTCTAGGTTACTGATTTTACTTTTCATGAATGGACGACCAGTTACAATAAGTTAAAATACACTATTTAGTGAATAAATTTTACATGATCAATGTATTGCAACATGTCATAATTGATAATTCGCTTTGTTTTCTAGTTATACTAACCTCATTATCTAGGAATCGTTATCTATATATTTTCTTTCAGATGACTTGATAGTGCTAATTATTAAAAGAGTTATAAATTTCACTATCAATGTCCAGAAGTTGAAAATATAATCGTGATAAATGATGCTTGTTATGTTGTATCAATGTCTTTGTTTTAGAGTTTGAGGAATAAGGTAATGAAATTCTGATACTCGATGGATTTCGTTTTTTTTTTTGTAGAATTGTGAGATATTTGTAGTTGCAGATAGAAGGGTTGATATACGTGGTTCAATAACAGCACAAAGTAGATTTAGTGACAAAGAAAATAGTGGATTTGTGTTTGTTGAAGGAAAAGTGTATGGCATTGGAGGTGTGTATTTGGGAAGAGCTATTGGGGCTTATTCAAGGGTTATTTTTGCAAAAACTTATTTTTCTAAGACAATTGTACCTCAAGGATGGACCAATTGGAGCTCTCCAGGATCAACAAAGTAAGACAACCTTTCTCCGTCTTTTCGTAATTGATTTTGATATGCTTTACTTCGAATTAGATTCACAGGCTATCGAAAATTAAAAAGTATAGATAAGAAATTACACTAGGTATATTGATAGAAGTTACTGTAACTATGAGTCTACAACCATTAAAATCGAGATTTTGGATCAGATTAATAAACTTACAATCATGAAATGGATTTAGATACTTGTCAACGACGTACATAATTTATCATGACTTGCTAATGTAGAGGCTCCTCGAGTACTTTGCTTGCAATCAAAATTATAATTAGGTTTAATAACTTGATCAGTCTCTAATTTCTTTCGTATCATAGATTCCCTCACTTTATGATCGATATTCAATTCACTTATATTTGTAAGCGTATTTATGAAATATATATATAGAGGAGGTGTTGGTATACCATACCAAATTATATTTTATTCATAGGATCATAATAGGTCGATTTACTAGGTTTAGGGGTGAACCAACTTGTGTCAAAGGGTTCGATCAATTGAATTAATTTCGCCACAAAATCATACTATATGAAAAAAAAATGGTTGAATACCTTTGACACGAGAGAAGATTCAACCTTTGTAACATAAGAGTTTAAAAAAATTGCTTTGACATGAAATTTAAATTCTGAATCCGACTAAATTCGATATTTGGTGCAGGAATTTATATCATGGTGAGTACAAGTGCCATGGACCAGGGTCAGCCATAGAAACTCGTGCCACATGGTCAAAACAACTCAATGACAAAGAAGCCATGGCATTCACCTCTATTGAATTTATCCAAGGCAAACAATGGCTTCCAGCATGGATTTAATTAAATTTAAACCATATATTATATGATCATTAATTAGAACTATATATATTATTATAGTATATTTTAGCCATGAAGTGCATCTCTTAATTGTATTTTTATGATGCCTCTGGCTAAACACTTTTAGCTTAGATGGAAATACCAATAATATTATTTATTGTTATTTCAAAAGTTGTGAATATTTTTGAGCAAACACAAGCAAATGATGCAATTTTTGTCACTTCAATATAACTTGTCAATAGTGTAAGTTCATCATACCTTATGAACAAAATGATTTACAACCACTAAGTATATAACGCGCTTTTAAATCATTATAACTATTTAAGGTTTAGTATAGTTACTCGAAATGCATTAGAATAATGATCTGTATAATGTAACTTTTGAAAAAAAATAACTTTCACAAAAGAGTTATGATCCTTCAAGTGTTATTATTGCATGATTACTTAAATGAGACAAAATTTAAATCTTAAATGGTCATATTTGTGCAAATCTCAATGATGGAAAAATTAC